CGAGGCCAAGCTCGCGGAGCTCGCGGACGCCGAGGCCGCGGTCCTCGGGCTCGGCGGCGGGCCGCGCGCCGCGCGGGGCGCCGTCGCGGCGGCGGCCGCGGTCGCGCTCGGCGTCGCCTTCGCCCTCGGCCGGGCGTCGAAGCGCTAGGTGCGCGGGCGCCGCAAGAAGCTAAGTTTTGCGGTGTCTGGTGACTGGTGTGCGACGCGGAGTTGACGGGCGGCGCGCCAGTCGACACGAGTGCAAGGTTTGCGGAGCTGCACGATCGGTATCCACACCATACATATCTCATCTGCGGCTGCCCCATCATTCGCATACATCGACGTCGTACTCGAATCGCGACGCCCGGCAGCCCTCGTCGCACGGGCCGCGTGGGGCTCGGTGCGCCGTCCGCCGCCGCCGCCGCCTCGTCCGGGAGAGGCCGCGCCGCCACGCCGGGAGCGACGCGCTCGCCGGACTCGCACCGGGTGGAGCCGCGCGGAGGCGCGCGCCGCCCCGCCATGTCCTACGGCGCCGGCGCCCCGATCGCCTTCGCCGACGACGACGCCGTGCGGCCCGCCGTCGCCGAGGCCGACGCCCCCGCGCGGTCGCCGGGCCGGACCCGCGCGGCGTGCGCCGCGGCCCTGGTCTTCGCCGCGGCCGCGGCCGTCGCCGGCGGCCCCCGGCTGCTGGGCCGGCCCGCCGCGGCGGCCCTCGACGCGACGTCGACGACGTCGACGGCGACGAGCCTGCCCGCGCGCGTGAACATCAGCGTGTCCAACGCCTACGAGCGCAAGGCCGGCCGCCAGACGGGCGACGGCTTGTACCCGTACAAGTACCTCGTCGAGGTGCACCAGCCCACGACCTTCGAGGTCACGGACCTGAGCCACCTGCCGGCGTCGCCGGCGTGCACCTGGACCCTGGGCACCTACGTCGACGCGACGTCGGGCTGCGCGTCCGTGAGCCACATCTTCGACGCCGTCGGCGAGGAGTACGTCACGTTCAACGCGTTCTTGTCGACGACGGGCGAGTCGCTGTCCTACAGCTTCGCCGTGCACGTCAAGTACGTGCGCCGCGAGATCCGCGAGCTCACGGCCGAGGACCGCGAGCGCTACCTCGGCGCCGTCCAGGTCATCTACAACACGGACACGGCCACGGGGCAGCACGCTCTACGGGTCCGCGTACCGCGGCTCCGAGTGGCTCGTGCGGGAGCACCTCTACGGCGCGGCGTCGAAGATGTGCGACCACTGGCACGACGACGCGGGCTTCCTGAACCACCACGTGGGCATCACGTGGCAGTTCGAGACGGCCATGCAGGCCGTCGACGCGCGCGTCGCCGCGCACTACTGGGACTACACGATCGACGCGTCCCTCAACGAGACGGACCAGTTCAGTTCGAGTTTACTGTTCTCCGAGGACTGGTTCGGCACGCCGAGCCCCGTCAACGGCCGCCACGTCGTCGACGCGGGCCGCTTCGCGTTCACGAAGGTGAAGTCCGCGGCGCGCGAGTTCTCGGCGATCACGAACCCCTACGGGCTGCTCCGCAGCCCCTGGAACACGAACAGCGCGCCCTACCTCATGCGCTTCCAGCAGGTCATGGGCGTCAAGTACGACGACTATTCGTTGGCGGGCTGCTCCGTCTTCACGGACACGCTCCAGAACTTCGACTCCATCGCCGCGTTCACGTCGAAGCTCAACGGCCAGCTCCACGGGCCCATCCATATCATGATCGGGGGCCACTGGTGGTTCAAGAACTCGACGGACAACAAGACGCTGGCGACGAAGACGGCCCACGACATGGGCCTCGGCGGCGCTCCGTTTTCCAAGGACGCGTCCGCGTGGATGGGCGTCGGCCAGGGCTCGAGGAGCCGCATGCTCCTGGCGTCCAAGTTCCTGTGGCGCCAGGGCTACGTGCGCTGCCCGGAGACGTGCAGCAGCGACGCGGCCTGGGAGGACTGCGCGTGCTCGTGCCCCGCGGAGATCGTCGGGACGTCGGACGCGGACGCGTACGACGTGCTCAACAAGAGCGGCCTCATCGACATCAACACGAACTGGAAGAACCCGAACCTGTTCGGCATGACCTGGCGCGACGTGCTGGACTTCCTCTGCCACGTGGGCCACCCGGGCGAGATGTTCACGTCCGCGGCGCCGCAGGACCCGACGTTCTGGCCGCTCCACGGCAACGCGGAGCGCTTCATGCACCTCGTGCGGCTGCTCAACGCCCAGGGCGACAAGCATCTCGACGAGACCTGGGGCTACATGCACGTGACCACGGGGCTCGACTCGGACACGCACGCGGTCTGCAACTGGACGGGCGTCGAGGGCATGGGCATGCCGTCCTGCGATCTGGGCGCGACGTGCCCGGGCCACCACGAGGACGACCTGCTGCCCTTCGACCTCTGGGAGTCGCAGCCCCACAAGTTCTCCAACTCCGAGTTCTACAACTACACGAGCCCGCTCAACAAGCACGTGCCCTACGTCTACGACCGCCTCACGTTCTGGCCGAGCTGTCACAACCAGACCATCTGGCACGGCAACCTGTCCACCATCGTCGTCCGGGACTAGGATCCGCCGCCGCGACCTCCCCTTTATGATCCCCCATCCCCGCGCGAGCCGCGCGCGCCCCCGGAAAAAAACAAAAACCGACTAAGCATCGACTCTAGTGAGTTCCAGAGGTAGCTTGAAACATGCCCGGCTCCTTAGCAGCCCCGGCCCCTAGGCGAGGCCCGCGAGCGCGCCTCCATGATGAGAAACGGCGAGCGCGGTCGTGAGGATGCCGAAGACGAGGAACGGCTGGGCCGTGCCCTGGTACTTGACGTCGTACTTGACGGGGTCCTTGAGGAGGTACTGGGTCTGGGCCCAGATCTGGGGCGCGATGAGCCCGCCGAGGATCAAGGCGTAGGTCGTCTCGCCGATGTACGCGAGGTACGCCGCCACCGAGATCTGCGTGACGTCGATCATGCCCGCGCAGATGTACTTGGCGCCGTCGATGCCGAAGGCCACGGGCAGGGACTTGAGGCCGAGCTCGCGGTCGCCCTCGATGGACTTGAAGTCGTTGACGATGGCGATGCCCAGCCCCGCGAAGGAGTAGAGCACCGTCAGCACGACGACGTCGGGCGTCAATTCGCCGCCCGCGGCGCCCGCGCCGACCTCGCCGAACATGGCCTGGCCGCACCACCAGGGCAGCGCGATGTAGGACGCGCCCAGCGCGAAGGACCCGCGCCAGCCCTCGGCCTTGAGCTTGAAGGGCGGCGCCGAGTAGAGGTAGGACACGACGGCGCCGAAGCACGCGATGAGGCCGATGGAGTTGAGCGGGTTGCCCAGGACGTCGTGGCCCGCCCAGGCGTCGCAGCCAAAGGCGAGGGCCAGGCCGCCAAACAAGAGGGCGTAGACCTGCTGGAAGACCTCCTCCTCGGTAATGCGGCCCGACCTACCAAGCATGACGGTGACGATTTCTCATCGTTTCCCCGGTCAAAAGCTCTCGAAAATCGTCACGGCCACAGGACGCTGGGCCCGACGGGATCGGCCGGTAGGGCTCGTTGATCGCGTCGAGGTCGCGGTCGTACCAGTCGTTGATGGTCTGGCAGAAGCCCGTGAGGCAGGGTCCGCTGAGGACCATGCACGTCAGGGCCTTGGCCAGGTCCTCGCCGCCCTCCGCGAGGCTCGCGCCGCCGAGCAGCGGCCACCGGTAGTTGCCCGACGCCGCCGCGCCGCAGGCGACGCCCCAGATGAGGGGCACCCAGGTCCCGGGCTTCGTGAGCTGGACCCGGATCTTCCAGAGCGGCTCGTCCTCCGTGTCCGCGGCGCCGCGGAAGCCCACGAGCTGGCGGAAGCCGCTCGAGCCGACCTTGGCGTCGCCCTCGAGGTCGCCCTTGGCGCTCACGATCGTCGGCGGCGCGTCGACGCGGCGCGTCTTCAGGGGCCGCGCGGCCCCGGCGTTCTTCAGGGGCCGCACGCCGGGGCCGCGCGGCTGCACGAGCGCCGACGCGACCGCTAGGCACAGCGCCGAGCGCATGATTGCGGAGCGCATCATCATCAAGAGCTGAGCAGCTCGGCGAAGCGTGATCTTCAACGCGCGCACAGTGCTGCGCCGCCGACCTCGAAGCAGCCTTCGAGCGCGCGTGAAGGCTGCGTGAAGGCCTGCGTGACGACACCTGTCAAGATACTTGTCCAGATAAAGGAACTTAGATCTCGGCGCAGCCGCAGCCGCCCCCGTCGACGTGGCCGCCGTCCGCCGGCGTCGCGCCGATGACGTCGGCGGGGTCGCCGCCCGTCCACTCCGTGTCCGCGGCGCACTCGTCCATGTCGACGTGGAGGTAGGGCTCGCGCGTCGCCGGGGGCGCCGGCGCCTCGACCGCCGCCGCGTCCGCCTCGTCCGTCGGCGGCGCGCGCGGCGCCTCGCGGAGGAGCGCGGCCCCGCGGAGGCTCGAGGCCAGCGTCGACGTGTAGTCTCCCGCCGTCGCCTCGAGCGCGGATTTGTATTCGTCGATGTCCTTCCTGAGCTCCTCCATGGCCTCCTCGAAGACCTTGCGCTCGCGCGTGATGTCGTTCTTGATGAGCGCGAAGGCCGCTCCGAGCGCGACGACCTGCAGGCTCATGCTCGCGACCGCGAGCGCGGCCGAGCCGTGGCCGACGACGATGCCGAGCGACGCCAGCAGGTTCACCGTCACGAGCCACTGGAGCATCTCCGCCAAATTGTCGTCGCTGTCGCTGATGTACGGCTCGAAGACCGCGAGGAGCTTCGTCGACGCGAGCGAGATCATGATCCCGAAGAAGAGGCGCCCCACGGCGCCGCGGCTCACGACGAGGAGAAAGGACGTGGAGAGCAGCCGCCGCGCGATCTCCGCGATCTCCCACCACCACATGTGGGGCTCGTAGGGCGTGTAGAGGAGGCCCAGGTGGCGGATGTTGCCGTTGGCCGACCGGATCTCGAGCTGCCGCGCGAGCCGCTCCTCGGACGCGAGGGCCTCCGCGGACGCGGACGCGCGGCCGTAGACCGCGTGGACGCTCCGCGCGCGCGCGCTCCCCGCGTCGCTGGGCGCCGCGACGACGACGGACGGGTTGATCTCGTGCTTGTGCCGGTGCAGGAGCGTGAAGTAGAGCAGGGGCACGCCGACGGGCCAGACGAAGACCGCGAGGATCGCGTAGATCGTGTACACGAAGTAGTCGAAGCCGCCGCAGCGCACGGAGTAGTCCGCGAAGAGGAAGGCCTGCTTGCCGCCGGCGTCGTCGAGCACCTCGCAGTCGAAGATCTGCAGGATCTTCAGCGTGACGCTCGGCAGCACGAAGTAGGTCACGACGACCGTCGCCGTCGCCGTCGCGACCTTGACGTCCAGCCACGTCGCCGCGTCGCTCGGCCGCAGCGCCCGCAGCGACATGAGGGCCCAGATGAGGCCCACGAAGGCGACGGGGCAGATCGTGATGAAGAGGAGGCCCCCGTAGAAGCCGCCGCCGCGCATGCACCCGAGCGGGAAGATCGCGCTGACGTCGAGCGTGAGGACGTGGAGCGCCTCGAACTGGACCCGCATGAGCCGCGGGAAGCGCACGCCGTTGAGCAGGTTCGGCAGCGAGTAGACGATCTGGAACGACACGAAGACGATGCGCCACTTGCTCTTGAGCTTGTTGTAGAGCCGCTCGCGGCGCACGAGCTTCGCGGACTGCGCGCGCGACGACCCCGCCGTCGCGAGGTACCGCGCCACCAGCAAGACGACGACCGCCGCGAGCGCGAAGCCGACGCCCGCGCGGACGCCTAAACCCCGGCCGCACGCGGCGCACCGCGTCGCGTCGAGGTAGTAGCCCGGCTCGCAGACGGAGCAGTAGGGCGAGAACGCCTCGAAGTGGCCGCCGTCGCAGCCGACGCGGCCCGCCTCCGCGGGGCACGCCGTCTTCCCGCCGAGGCACGCGAGCGCCTCCGTGCTCTCGTCGTGGAGCCGCATGTAGCCCGCGTCGAGGGGCAGCGTCTCCAGCGTCACGGTCACGGCGTCGCAGACGAAGCCCGTCGCGGGGCAGGCCGCGCAGCCGCCTGGGCAGGACAAGAGAGATTCAACGTCGCTTCAACGTTCCGCGCGCGCGCGTAACAAAAAACATATCCACGCGTCGAGACCGTTCCGAGAGATGATCGCTCGTCCAAAAGTCAGCCGAAACGAGTGGAAAATGGCCGAGATATGAGCCTTTGAAGTTGGGAATGTCGCTCTCTTGTCCTGCCCCGGCAGCCGCCGCCGTCGCGGTAGTAGCCGACGGCGCAGAGCGGGCAGTAGGTGTCGTTGTTGTTATCCGCCGTCGTCGTCGGCGCCTGGCACGCCTGGCAGCTCCCGTAGTCGCCCGGTGCGAGCGACGTGTAGTAGCCCTCGGGGCACGACTGGCGCTGGAGCGTGACGAGGTTCCAGTCGAGGCCGTTGTCGGTGATCGCGGCGACGTCGTAGTAGAGCCCCGCGTGGTCGAAGGGCCCGCCCGTCCGGTTCCAGGAGCCCGTCGCCTCGAGGTGCGCCGCGGACGTCCGGATGAGGTCGTTGGGGTGGCTCAGCGCCTCGTAGAAGAGCACCTCGCTCGCCGAGTTCAGCGTCGTCGACGGGGCGTGGAGCTGCGTCGCGTTGGGCACGGACGCGACGACGACGTAGCCGCTCGACGCCTCCCGGATGTACGCGAGCACGGACGCCGGGTCCACGTCGGCGAAGGCGAGCCGGAACGCGTCGTCGAGCGAGCCGAGCAGGATCGCCGTGCAGCCGACGCCTAAAAAGGCGCCGTCGAGCCCCAGGAGCGAGCTGCAGAGGCCCATGGCGTGGTCGTTGCTCGGCACCGATGTGTTCAGATCCTCCGGGAAGTGCTGGGTCGCCGACAGCGTCGCGTCGCGGTAGATGCCGCTCCACGCCGACGCGCTCGTATAGCCGTCGTACGCGTCCGCCATCTCGTAGTACCAGGCCCGGAGCCGCGGGTCGTAGCCGATGCCGTCGAACTGGTCCAGGGGCGTGCCCCGGGCCGCGTCGATGGCGTAGTAGGCGCGGCAGATGCCGTCGACGCCGTAGCTCGGGCACGTGAAGTTCTCGTCGCCGACCCACCTACGAGGGCAATTGGATTTCTTCTCGCCTCCCGGCGAGCGTTGCCCGAAAAAACACGTCGCTCGACGCTGCGACCCACCCGAGCGCCCGGCTCCCGTTCGCGGCCGCGAGGAACCCCTTATTGTAGTAGCCCACGAACGCGCCCGAGGGATGGCCCGTCCACACGAAATAGACGTCGTCGCTCGCCGCCAGCGCCTGCGTGTAGACCAGCGCCCGCACGTCGTCGAGGACCACGGTCCCGTTGTAGAGCCAGCCCGTGCTGAAGGCCGTCATCATCGTCCCCGCCATCGTCACGTGCTCCGTGAACTTGACGAGGACCTGCTCCTCGATGATGCGCGCGTAGATGGACTCGTAGCCGAAGCATGCCGCGGCCCGGAGGCGCGCGGCGAGCAGCAAGGCGAATAGCAAAGCCCGCATCAGCGCATCCGCCTTCTGATTGCCGAGAGGCAGCCCATAGATGCTCTTTGGGCTCCCTGTCGCTTGCGCGGTCAGGTCTATCCTGAAACCATTTCGGCAAGGTGCAGCGTGCAGTGCCATCGGATGATATTGAGGCTGAAGCAGAGTTTGGTTGCCCGAAGCAGGCACGATGGTCTCATCGAGCTCTGTCCCCTCGATGCGCAGCGGCGCGCTCCGTGTCCCCTCGATGCGGTCTGGCCTGCTGCTGTCTCTCGGCGCCGCCGCGGCCGCGTTCCTGATCTGGCTCGCGTCCGCGGACGAGGAGGAGGAGGCGTGGCCTGCGTCGGAGCTCTGCGAGCTGTGCTGCGAGAACGCTGAGGACTTTGAGGACGATAAGGGGCCGCACGGCATGTGCTTCGAGTGCGGCCGCATGTTCTGCTGCGCCTGTCGACGGAAGATGATCGTGACTTCCGAGGAGCGGCGCGCGGCGGCGGGCCTGCCGCGGGTCGCGGAGATCCCTTGCCCGTTTTGCCGGTCGAACACCGAGGGATCCGCGCCGACGTACCTCATGCTGCGGAAACTCCTCGAAACGCGGCCGAAGAGTCGGTGCATCAAGCACTGCCACTTCCAGATGGGCCTCGTGCGATCGATGGGCTTCGGCGTGGGCCGAAGCGACGCCATCGCGCTCGCCCACTTTCGCGACGCGGCCGCGCTCGGCCACGGGCAGGCGATGTACTGGATCGGCGGGTCCTACGAGGACGGCGTCGGCGTCGAGAAGGACGAGGCCGAGGCCATGCGCTGGTATCGCCGGGGCCGCGCCGCGGGAGACCCGAACGCGACCGGGTGCGCCGACTCTGAGTCGACGCGGATGCTCAACCGCATGGCGCGCGAGCAGAACCGCGTCTGCGCCGCCGAGAGGCGCTGGCAGCAGACCCCTCCGGACCTCGCGGAGCGGGGCTTCGTCGTTTACTAGCGAGCAGCCCCGGGCTTCCTAGCGCTAATTCTTTTGCACCGAAGCCGAAGGCCACCGCCGGGAGACGGCCGCCGCTGTTACCGCACCCCTGCGGCCTCCTCGAGCGCGTCCCAGCCGAGGTCGTGGCAGTGGGAGAAGGCGACGTAGACGAGCGCGTGGAGGGCGAGGCCGTAGGCCGCGAGGACCGCGGTCCGGAGTCCGAGCCCCGCGCGGCGCTTGCGCTGGCCGATGCCCGGCGACGCCGACGGCCGGAGGACGACGGCCGCGGGCCGCGGCGCCGGCCGCACGGCGGCGACGACGGGCGGCGGCGGCGCCTCGAGGTCCGCCGCGGGCGGCGGCGGCGCGGCGGACGCCGCGCGCTTCGGCGGCCGCGCGCGCGCGGCGCGCGGCGCCGCGGCGGCCTCCTCGCGGGCCGCCTCGAGCTCCGCGCGCGACGCCTGGAGGTCCGCCTCGAGGCGGCGGAGCCGCGCGGCCGCGACGTCGCCGACGGCCGCGCGCGTCGCGAGCTCGGCTTCCGCGGCCTCGCGCATCGCCTCGGACGCCGCGAGGCCCGCGCGCGCGGCGTCGAGGGCCGCGCCGCCGCCCTCGGCGGCCGACGGCACCTTCGCCGACGCGCGGAGCTCGCAGAGGGCCTTGCGGTCCGCCGCGGCGGCGGCCGCGGCCGCCGCGGCGTCGCGCGTCGCCGCGGCGGCCTCCGCGGCCCTCGCCGACGCGTCGGCCTTGGCCGCTTTGAGCTGGTCGTTGAGCGTCTTGAGCGCGGCGAAGTTGCGCTGCTTCTTCGCGGACCGCTCCTCCGCGAGCGCGCCCCGCGCCGCGGCGAGGTCGTCCTCGGCCCTCGCGAGCGCGGACGCCGCGGCGCTTCGGTCGCGGTCGCGGGCCTCGCCGGCCCGCGCCGCCCGCGCCGCCGCGGCCTCGGCGCGCGCCGCGCGCTTCTCGAGGCCGTCGACGGCCGCGAGCGCCGCGTCGCGCGCGGCCCCGGCCTCGGCGGCCTCGCGCGCCGCGGCCGCGGCCGCGTCCGGCGCGCGGCGCCGCCGCGGGCGCGGCGGCCGCGCGCGACTCCGCGGCGGCCTCGGCGGCCTCCAACTTCGCCAGCGCCGAGTCGCGCGCGGCCTCGGCGTCGGACGCGGCCTGGCGCGCGCGCGCGACGCGCTGCGCGGCGGCGTCGGCGAGCGCGGCCGCGTCGGCCTCGAGCCGCGCGACGCGCTTCAGCGCCGCGTCGCGCTCCCGCGCGACGCCCGCGACGGCGGCCTCGCGCTCGCCGTTGGCGCGCGCGACGGCCCGCTCGCGATCGAGCCGCGCGCGCCGCGACGCCTCCTTGGCCGACGCGACCTCCTTCCGCAGCGCGTCGCGCTCGGCCTCGAGCGCGCGCGCCGTCTCCCAGGCGGCGGCGCCCGACGAGTCCGCCCGGTCCCGCGGCGCCTCGGGAGGCGGCGCGGGCGCGGCCGGGGCGGGCGCCGGGGGCCGCGCGGGCGCCGCGGCCGCGCGCGCCTTCGCCGGCGGAGCGGCCGCGCGCGCCTTCGCCGGCGGAGCGGCCGCGCGCGCCTTCGCCGGCGGAGCGGTTGCGCGCGCCTTTGCCGGCGCCGGCGCCGCCTTCTCGAGCGAGGGAAAGTCCTCGAGCGCCTTCGCTAGCGCGTCGTCGGCGCCGGCGCCGTCGTCGTCGTCGGCGTCGTCGGCGTCGTCGCGGAAGATGGCGTTCCCCGCGGCGACGCCGAGGCCGCCGCCGGCCTTGAGGAGCGCGCTGCTCACCTTCTCGGCGCCGTCGGCGAGCGGCGCGATGAGCGCGTCCTCGTACTGCTCGATTTTGGTGTCCAGCGAGGACTGGAGATTATCGACCATCTTCGAGAGGCGATTCATGATTCAAACCTCCGCAGGAACTTCCGCAGGACGTCGCGGAGCCGCTCTCCTTCAGGACACCCGGCGGCCGTGTCGCGTTTGACGGAGCTTCACACGACGGCGGCCCAGACTTTGGTGCTATTGCCACAGCTCGCTGAGTTCAACTTGACGTAAATCAGGCGGCCAAAATGCGATGGGCAAGCCTGATTCTCGCGTGCCAGGCCTGCTGTGAGGCGCTATCCGTGCCGCGTCGAGCGGTGCTTGCGACGCCAGCCATCGCTGTCGCTTCGATCCGCACCGATGCGGCCGCAGCGACCGCAGCACCAGCAAAGCCAGCACCGCCACCAAAGCCCCTACCGGCAAGCCTCGACGCGGCGTCGGTCTTCGCGCTCGTGTCGCCGGCCGGCGGCGGCGTCGTGTCCGTCGACCTCGACCGGAGCGGCCGCGTGCGGAGCGCTCTTTTTTTTTACGAGACGCGGCAGCAGGCGGACGCGGTCCTGCGCGCGCTGAATACCGCGCGGCCGCCGACGCCGCCGCTCGCCGTCGCGCGCGTGCCGCTCTCGACGGCCATCGACGCGACGCTCGCGGCGCCCTACAAGCGGGCGGGCTTCCCCGGCTACTTCTGCGGCCGCCTCGTGCTCGCGCCGGGCCGCCGGGCCGCGGCGCTGCGCGCGACGGGTTTGGCGGACCTCGGCGACCGATCGATCCCGCTCTTCTCAGCGTCCTGTGGCCGTGACGATTTTCGAGAGATTTGGGGTGGGAAAACAATGAGAAATCGTCACCGTCATGCTTGGTAGGCTCTTCTACAGCGACGACGCGCGGGGCAGCCGCGGCGACAGCGGGACGCCCGTGGAGGCCTTCTGGGACCCCAAGGCCGCGGACCGCGCGTCGGACGCGGCGAACAAGCGCGGCGGCGGCGCGACGCAGTACGTCCACGAGGCGGACCTCATGCTCCTGCTCCGCCAGCCCGAAAGCCTCGACGACGTCGTCACGCTCTCCCCCCTCCCCTCGAAGGCCCTGCCGGGCGACGTCGCCTTCGACCCGGCGGCGGACCCGCTCCTCGTCCTAGAGCTCGAGTGCGACCTCCGCGCGTCCGCGTGCGCCGTGACCAAGGTCGCCGAGGCGGGGCGGTAGTACAAAAGTTATGGACAGTCAGGTCATGGCGATCATGCGGTCGTGGTCGCCGAGCGCGGACGCCTCGGGCGACGGCGGCCGCAGGCTCGGCTTCTGGTACAGCGCGGACGGCGGCGTGATGAGCGCGGCGCGCTCGACCGCGCCGCGCTTCGCGCCGTCGCGGAGGACCTCCTTCCGGCAGTAGCCCGCCAACAACCCCAGCGCGAAGGACGCGACCGTGCCGAGGACGACGGCGAGGAGGCTCAGCTCGACCGTGAGCGCCGAGTCGGCCTCCTCGCGCGCCGCGTGCCGCGGCGACGGCGCGGCCGCGGCGCCCGCGTCCGGGGGGAACGCGACGGCCGGCGGCGGCCGGATCGCCGGCGGATTTCTGCGCTTGGCGCACGCCGCCGCGCGGTCGCGGACAAGCACGAACTCGTCGGCGACCTCGTGCGCGCTGCCGCCGGCGTCGCCCGGCGTCGCGCACGAGCTCGCGTTCAGGTTCAGGCCGTCGCCGTCGCCGGGCTTGCCGCAGGCGTCGCGCTTCCACCGGTAGTTCGCGTGCGTGTCGTTCACAAGCTCGAGGTGGCCGACGCCGAACGAGCTCTCGCGGAACGCGGACCATTCGAGGTGCGGCGCGGCCCACCGCGTGTACGTGTTCTCGCGGTTGCCGCCGTCGCCGAGGTTCACGTAGACGGGGCCGCAGGGATCGACGTCATAATCATAAACGCCTCTCGCGTCGGAACGCTCGTAGGCGTGGACGTGCCCCGCGAGGACGACGTCGACGCCGTGCTCGTAGAGGAGCGGCTCGTAGGCCCGGCGCATGAGCTCGGCCTCGTCGTGGTGCGCGCCGTTGCTGTTGTAGAAGGGCGCGTGCATCATGACGACGACCCAGGGCGTGCGCGACCGGTCCACGCGCGCCAGGTCCGCCGCGAGCCACGCGCGCTGGAGCCGGTCGCCGTCCTCGAGGAAATTGTCGTAGGAGTTGAGCGCGACGACGTGCGCGGGCCCCGCGTCGACGGACCAGTACAGGGGCGACGTGCTCCCCGAGGCCGCGTGGGGCGTCGGCCAGCGCGCCTCGAAGTGGACCCACTGCTCGCCGGAGCCGACCTCGTGGTTGCCGCCCGTCGCGAGCGTCGGCACGCGGCCGAAGACGCGGCTCGACAGGCGGCCGAAGGTGTCCCAGCGGAAGGGCCAGCCGTCGGCATATGATAAATCGCCGCCGACGAGGATGAGGTCCGGGTCCAGCGCGTCGAGCGCCGCCAAGCTCCGGTTCGACACGACGGTCTGCCCCAGGTCCGCCGTGAGGCCCAGCGCGAAGGGGTAGCCGGACCGCGGGAACGCGAAGGTCCGCGTCGCGCCGTCGCCCGCGACCTCGTAGGCGTAGGTCGCGCCCGGCGTCAAATCGTCCAAAGCGACCTTGTGAATGACCGGCGACGAGTAGATCGCGCCGGGGTTCTTGTAGTCCTGGAGGTCCTTCGGCGGCTTCGCGGGGACGTGGTAGGACGCGCTGTCCGAGTTGGCCCAGCCGCTCGTGTTCGCGACGTCCTCCGCGTCCGAGAGGGGCGCGAAGGGCGCGCCCATGTCCGGCGCGTACAAAGCCTCCTCGACCCAGATGATCGACGTGTAGCTCCGCGCGGCGCCCGTCGCGGCCCGACGATCCTCCGGCGCGTCCAGCGGCCAGAAGACGACCTCGCTCGCGAGCGCCTCGGGCGTGACGAAGGACACGAGGGCCGACGTCGGGCCGGCGAGCGACACGTGCGCCTGCGCGGAACACGCCGCGCCGCGGAAGTAGTCTTTGTCGGGTTTCTGCATGGTCGTGAACGTGAACTCGCAGCCGTCGATCTCCTCTTCACGCAGGTCCCGCGCGGGCGGAGCGCGCTGGAAGCGGCTCGTTACGTGGCGCGATGCGGTCGCGGCGCCGAGGACGGCGGCGAACGGCAGGATGGCCATTGCGGTCGGGTCCTGCGCGATTTTCGACGCTAGAATCGGGGCCCGAGCGCTCGTCTGGATTCAGCGCTGCTGCGACGCGCCGACGAACGCCCGGACGGCGAACTTTTCACGCCTGAAGTCCGGTCCAGCGCGATTCAGGCGTCGAATCGAGTGGCAAATTCATGTCTTGCGGTGCATCATCAGCCCTCCAAGCCGCAAAACGATGGACGCGGTCGGGCTGGGTTGCAAGTAAGGCGCAGCTATGGACGAGGCGCGCGACACGACGCTCGAGCCCAGCGACGTCGAGTTCGCGGTGACCAAGGCGGCGATCCGCGCCCAGGAGGCGCAGGACCTGACGAAGCTGGCCATCCGCGTGCTGTGCGACACGGCCCCGCCGCGGCCCGACGCCATCTACCTCTTCACGGAGCTGCCCGAGAACATGGGCAGCTGCTACGCCGCGGCGCTCGACGCGCTGAAGCGGTTCCCGCGCATCGTGGTGCTGCTGAGCGGCGAGGACGGCAGTCGGTGCCCCGGCGTCGCGGGCTTCGATGAGAGCCGCGAGCGCCTGGTGAACCTGGGCGCGCCCGCGGCGTCCATCGAGGAGGTGCCCTTCGAGGTCGGCGAGCGGCTCATCCACACGAAGAACGAGAGCGACTTCCTCGCGACGCACTGCCGGCGGCGGTCCTTTTACAGCGTGCTGATCGCGGCGCCGCCGATCCACGCGGTCCGCGCCTTCGCGACGGCGTGCACGTCGGCCATGGCGTTGGCGCCGACGATGCGCTGCTACTGCGTTCCCGGCCCCGCGGACCCCTGGGAGGCCGTCGTGACGCACTCGCAGGGGAAGGTCCGCGACTCGCGCGTCGCTTTGCTCGACGGCGAGCTCGACCGCGTGTCGGCCTACACGAAGAAGGGCGACATCGCCAAGGCCGCGGACATCCTGGCCTACCTGGCGAAGCGCGACAAGGCCGCGCGGGCCGACGCGGCCGCGGCCGCCAAGGCGCCGCAAAAGCCCGCGCCGCCGAAGACGAGGGACCGCGTCCTCTCGCCCCGGCCGGCGAGCACGGAGCGCACGCTGACGCCGAGGACCAAGTAGATTTTTAAGTTACGCCCCGCCGCCGAGCACGCGGTAGAACGCGGACAGCGCCGCGGACTCGTCGAGGACGGCGCGCGCGACGGCGCGCCGCGACGCGAATACGGAGGCGTCGACGACCGCGCCCTCCACCGCGCGCGCGGCGTCGGCAAAGTCCGCGGCGCCGACGGCGATGGCGCCCCGGGGCACGGCGAGCCCCGCGAGGGACGCGACGTCGTCCGCGAGCGCGGACCCGTCGACGACCGCGGAGCCGCAGGCCCGGAGCGCCGCGGCGGCGGCGGATTTGACGGCCGCGGCCGTCGGGCCCGGCGCGGCGTCCATGAGCGCGGGCAGGCACGCGCGCCGCAGCGCCGGCGACGTTTCGGCGGCGCGGCGCAGGCACGCGTGCGTCGCGACGGCCGCGTCGCGCAGCGCCGCGTGGAACGCGCCGCGCCACGTCAGCGCCGGGTCGAGGTCCACGCCGACGGTCACGTGGGCTGAGTCCGAGCCCGCGTCCTCGCAGGCCGTCGCGGCGTGGTAGACGCCCCGCGGGACGTACAAAACGTCGCCCGGCGCGAGCGTGACCGCGTGGTCCGCGCCGCGCCGCAGCAGCTCCGGCGGCGGCGGCAACGTCGCCTCGTGGAGCGTCGGGCACTCGAGGGCCGGGCCGTAGAGGCGCCAGCGCTTGCGGCCCCGGAGCTGGACGACGAAGACGCAGTGGTCGTCGTAGTGCGCGTCGAGCGCCTGCGCGCCCGGCGGCGTCGCGTACAGGTTCACGGAGCAGCCGACGCGCAGGACGCGCTGCACGGCGCGCCGCGCCTCGGCCGCGCAGCGGAAGCGCGCGTCGGCGCCGAGGACGACGACGCTCGCGGCGGCGCCGCCGCCGAGGCCCGCGCCGTCGCGCGCGCACGACGCGCGGACGTAGTCGGCGCCCTCGGCGACCGGCGCCGGCCGTCGGAGCACGTCGAAGGCGCAGTCGCAGGCGTCACGGCCCGGGTCCGCGTCGCGCACGGTCGCGAGCGACGGGCCCGGCGGCGCGGCGGCCGCCGCGAGCGTCGGGCCGAGGGCCCCCGCGGGCGGCGGGCGCGGCGCGGCCGGGCGCCGCGCGCCGGCGCCGTCGTCGAAGCACGGGAGGGTCGCCGCGCTCCCGGCCGCGGCGACGACGCGCGCGTTCCGCTCCCAGTCGCGCCGCCAGAACGACGCGTCGCCGACGAGCTCCGCGACGGGGACC